GAATCAAAACAAATACTTACAAGTCAAGATAAAGATATGCAGCCAATAGCTGACCAAAAGTTCTTCAATCAGACTTTACCCAACGCTAATTCGACAAAATACTCACTCAAGCTGGGCATGGGATCACTTACAAATTCAACCACATCTGAAATTCGGTGGAACACCACGCTACTGACAGCTCTAAACGACGACATGTTTCGCCGTCTTGCGCCAGCTGTGGCGTTTCTGGTGGCCACAATGGTGGTTGGCGCTGTAGGAAATATCATCGTCTGCTACATCTTCTGCCGGAAGTTGCGGCCAAGTAGCCAAAACTTCTTGTTGCTGAGCCTGGGTAGCTTTGATTTAGCCAGTTGTTGTATTGGAATTCCGTCGGAGATCTTTGACATTCGTCATTATTACATGTACGAATCTCTGATCGGGTGTAAAACTATGAGGTCAGTGCCATCTCATTTTATCACTATCTTAACATCCACACCATCGCCACCATCATCATTACCATCTTTATTGACCCACCCACCGCCATCATCACCATCATCATACCGCCATCATCATCCCCATCCCCACAACTACTATCACCGTCATCATTACTATCATCATCCCAACCCTATCACCATCATTTTACCCACCCCCACCACCATCATCATTACCACCACCATCATCATACAGTGCACAACTCTTCTTCTTCGCGTTCACCAGCTCCGAACTCTGGCGGAAATCATGGTTGTTCCTCCATTTCTAGACTTTGGTCTTGTTCCAGACCCTAAGTTTTGCGTGTACATCCGTTTTACAGATCTTGCTTGTCTGTATTCAGACAGCTGGTTCCTTGTTTTTCAGCCACATGCACTCTGACCTCAAAGGTATAGTGGTGACAATCAATTTCCTCATTCCATTCGGATACTCAAACCATCACAGTCTATAAGCCAGTGGTGATTTCAACAGATGATAAATGGCATTCTTGCTTCCCACGCTCTGTTCTCCCTTCTTGCATTTGTGATAGGTCTAAAGATTCGTCTTCAAACAAAAAAGTTTTAAAAAAAATGTAATGGCCTGTCAGTGGCTTGAATATTTAAATTGAAGTTCTGACATTAATATTGTGTAAGTAAACTATTCAAAATGTAAAAACTATAAATGGTGGTCTAAAGGACGTTATGTAGAAAAGCTCAGACTCTTACGAGATACGCCTGGCCAAATTAGAAGGAACATGAACCAAGAGGAAAACACCAGAAAAATAAGAGCAGAAGAAACATAGTCGAACATCGGAAAGGATTGAGCGGTCTGACTGAGAGAAATAAGGGCTTAGCCAGAGAGCTGGCACAAATATCAAGCATTAGCCACAGAAATGGTGCAAATGAACCAGACCACAAATATAAGGGGAGATTGTTGGTGGCTTCTGTTGGCTAGCAGCAGATTGAACGTGGTCGAGTTTTTGTGTGTATTGTTGTTTTGTATGTGGATCAGGACATGGACTTGGACCTGGACTTGAACTGTGACTTGAACTCGGACTTGAATTTGGACTTGAATTTGGACTTTGACCTGGACTTGGATCTGGACTTGGACTTGAACATGGACCTGGACTTAGACCTGGACTTGGAATTGAACTTTGACCTGGACTTGAACTTGGACTTGAACTTAGACCTGAACATGGACTTGGACCTGGACTTGGACCTGGACTTGTACTTGGAACTGGACTTGGACATGGACTTTGACTTGGACCTGGACTTGGACTTGGACATGAAATTGGACTTGGACTAATTATTTTAAATTATCTAACTTCGAATCTCACAGCACCCGTTGCATAGTCACTATTTTCGTCTTGTCCCTGTCCGAGAACATCCGATAAAGTGCAGCAGGAGAAGATCGAGGCCTGGGAGTCATGACCCAGGTCGGCCCACCCTCTGAAGTTGTCTAGGAGGTAATGGAGCCGAAACAGTTGTCGACGGGGGAGCTTCTACTGGTGATCGGTAGACTCCTGCTGTACCTGCTCCCCTGTGGAGTTCTTCTTATTGTATAAATAAACTTTACACTATATTATTACTGTTTTTTCCAACACAAAATATTGTGATGGTATATCCAAGAATGCACTTCCTACTACCACCACTGCTGCAGCTGCTGCAGCTGCTGCTGCTGCTGCTACTACTACTACTACTACTACTATAACTAATAATAATAATTATAAGTTTTAGTTTTGCACGTTCTTCGCATATATATGAGCTCGGATCATTCGTAATTGTAAATTGTTTCCCTACTTGTGTGACTAAGGAAAATGTTATCGACATTTTAGTTAGCTACATATCCTTTACAGCGCTTAGACAACTATTCCCCAGACATGTATATATATACATCAATCTTCCCCTGTGGCTTTACAACACGATTTTACGTTCTGTAGTTTAGAACGATTTGGACTCATGCGATCTTCAAAATCTACGCAGAGCAGTCTGCTGTCAAGCCTCTTGCAGCTAACTCTGTATGCCGAGATTATGAAACTAATTTCAAACTTCTTAAGCTTAAAGTTGGTTGCAGGTCCTTTACAGGACTTTGCAGAGCTATCCCCCATTTTTCAGCTGTGATTTTACTCGGCAATTTTTCATTCAGTAGTATGCCACAGCTTTCTAACAGTGGGCTCTTGATACCACGGTTGAAATCAAGGCAAGTGAAAAAAGCCGGCAACTGTTATTGAACGCGGCACTTTAGCATTACGAAGCCCGTTCGCATCGCCTAAGCCAAAGTTGACAATTCTTAAGCTACAGATGCAATTATTTTTTAAATAAAATTAAATGACTGCCCTATCGCTGTCAGCGGTATGCCCATTTATCCATTGTCAGACAGTCCGTCACCGAACAGGTATGAAGGACTCACTACGAAAGAACTATAAGGAAGTAAACGATACTGTCACTTTATGTTCAGGAAACTGATAATGTTGTAATGGGGCAGGAAATAACCACTTAACGTTGAGCAAAAGTCCTGTTGTTAAAGCTTTCTAGAGGTCTCCCTCGCACAGCGGTCAAGCCGTTTTCCTGGCGCTCTGAAGATCGTGAATTAGTTTCACGGCGACGACGTTCGGTTCACTGGTGAATTTGTTCACGGAGATCCATGGGGATCGTTGACGAAGCTTCGGAGGTCGTGCTCAGTGTATCGCTCTCAGCAGGCAGCTTGCTGTTCTGCGGAGAAGACTGAGCCATATGGGACAAAACCCAATGCAATGAAGTCAATCCTCTCACCCTTACGTTTACCATTCAGTCATAATTGTAGCTGGATGTGTTGTGTAGAAGTAACTCAAGTGGTTGCCTTCCAGAAGAAGAATACAAATAAACGATTCATATCATCTTAATCCCTGCTTTGCACTGTTGATACTATTCGTGGATAAAGAGAAGATCACAGTAATAGAAAATGTGCTGTCTCCAAAATGTTACCAACAACACAAAAAGGGGCAGGGTAACGAACACCTGCATTATATAGAAGGTTGCAGCAATGGTATGCGGGAATTATATGGAAAGACAGAAAATGAAGTGGTTTGGTTTTCTAGTAAAAAGGCAATCTGGCTAAACTGCACATGTGACTTTCTACGGCAGGACATCTGGGTGGAACTCGAGAGGAAGACAAAGGAAGACATTGATAGACGGTGTCTCTGAAACCTGCAAAACCTGGTGGGGAAGGCTGGGGGAGGGAATAACCCGCGAAACGCAAGAGACAGACAGAAAACCACGACGCTGGACTACAACCCGGTAACAGTGTGATGACAAAAGAAGAAAGAGGAAGTATTAAATCTATCAAAAATACTCTTGTCAACTCTTTCATGTGCGACCCCCCCCCCCCGTCCCCCCCCCCTTTTTTTTTTTCTCTCCACCCTTTCTCCCCCTTGGCTTAACTTGCTTTGCAAAATAAATTGTCACGTTCAACTAGCATCCCCCGGAGGGAGAGCTGTATGTTATATTTGTGATAAGGTTATGTGCGCCATATAAAATGGTTTAGTATTCCTCGGCACCAAGAAGCTCTGAAAAGAACTCTTGCAGTGTTGATAGATCAAAAGAGACAGACACAAATACAGTCCCACCCAACCGATAGGCGCCCATAATGACCCCCCCCCCCCCACTCCCTTCCCCTCTCTTTAAAAAAAATTATTATAGTGTATGCCGCGAAACGCTGATGATTATGTATGTCCACAAGCTTCTTATGTGCTAATAATTTCTGATATAGATGTTCTTTCCTGCAATGATAGCCTAGATAGCCTAGCATACGACATCACATCTAGCATGAAAATGGAGGTGGAGGCGGTAACTGCAGCTCTCCGGTGGCTAGAGAATAAGGTGCATACACATGTAATCGTAACAGACTTTGAAAGCATGCTGAGAAAGGTGAAGACAGGGATGCTTCGAGTAGAGTGGCAAGCTTCAGTGGGAAGTCACGGGTAGTGAGCATACTTTGCATCTTTTCTCCAGGCCATGCCAGCGTAGTAGGTAATGAATACACAGACAGATTGGCTGGATCTGCACCACTGGGTGGTGAATTGATACATTACAAGGCAGATGTGGTTAAGGTACTTTGGGAACAAGCAACGGAATCTGTAGAAAAACAAAAACTCAGAGGAAAGGCAAGACGGACATATAACCATATTGTAACCGGTACCATCAGTATTGAAACTCTGCACTGGCTGCTAAAGATGAGGACTGAGCACGCATGGGAATGTCGCGAGTGCCTTGATGACAATGCATGACTCAGCCCAACTCGACATCTCTGTTAATCTTTCTCTGTTTCTCCTCCCACCAGACACAACCCTCCCCCCTTTTTTTCCAAGTTACCTGTTGTCACGACGTACTCCCTTTTCATTGCTAAAGGGTTTATATAGACTCCTCCTTCTTATGAAAGTACTTGCACCTTCTTTTCAATTAAAACTTGCCTAAATTGGGGTGTAAATAGGGTTCTCATGCCTAAAAAATCGTCTAAATACTAGGTCGATTTATGTGGCAGGTATTTTTTTTTTTTTTTTTTTTTTACGTATCCAGAAACCATGAGTTGTAAACCCTTTGGCTCGGTACTATGGATATCGCAACCCTTCGGCCTTGATTCCATTATAGGTACCGTTAATCTGGGAGAAATGTGGCTTTTCTGCCTACCCCCGGGAGTGAACCCGGACCACAAGGAGTTCGTCACCCGGCCGCCGCGAAAGTCCGGTTTAACCAACTTCGCTAGAGAGCCGGGCTAATGTGGCAGGTATATAACGCTTCGGAGACGTGTTTTGTAGACAGATGATAAGAATATCCTGGACAGAAAACAAGATTAATGAGGGTGTCTTGAAAGATACTGACTCATGAAGAGAACAAAAAGAGACAGTCTACATTCTTTGGTCATGTGATAGGAAGGAGAAAACTGGAGTACACCATGATTGTATTAAAGTTGGAGGGAGGAGAAGCAGAGGCAGAGGGAAACCGAGAGAAAAGATTCTGGACAGTCTGACATCATGGCATGGAGTAAAGAAGATTTTGAATAGATATGACTACCAATGCCACACGGCATGGACTTTGAGAAGAAGATATAATCTCTAGTTAGCTATAAGCCTAACTCAGAATTTTGACCTATAAATCTTGATGTAGACTTGTTCACCGTAGCTTACGGTAATGAATGATTCAATAATGTATTGGCTAAAACTGTTCTTGTGTTCTCACTTCTAGGTTTCTGACAACGCTACCAAACCTGGCGTCCGTGTTGATGCTGCTAGTGATAGCAGCAGACAGGTACCGGAAAATCTGCAAGCCCCTTCATCATCAGATGCATCGATGCCACGTCAAAATCTCCTTGGTGATCATCGTAGTCTTCGCTTCGCTATTTTCCACTCCTACTCTCTTCATTTACGGACACAGAATTTTGCCAACACCAATCCCTGGAGAATTTGGCTACGATTGCTCAATTAGCGAAACCCATCGAAGTCAGCAGTACCATGTCATGTACGAGGGGTTGTTTTGTGCGCTGTTCATCGTCTGCACAGTAGCGCTGGTGTTGATATATGTGAAAATATGGAGAGAGACTAAAAGACATATAAAATACATGAAAACTCATGCTATGTTCGGGTCAGGGTTTTTGGGAGACAAGTACAATGCGTCTTCAGGGACTTCAGATGAAAATATTTCGGATTCACGGCGAAATTCGGAAGCGACTTCTATGAACTCAGTAGGCGTTCAACGTTGTTTCATCTGTGTTCGTGGAAAGACCAGAAAGAAATGTGTACAGCTTGTAGATGTGGATGCATCGAAATCAGTAGTCACTCCAGTAATTAAACTAAATAGTCCTCAAATGGGAAGGGCAAATAGCGTCGTACCCGAATCTTACAGTAGTGTACTGAAAATTAAACATAAAACAGCCGATGTTTCCACGCCAAGCGAAGTGTTTGAACTGGGTCTTGCAAATAAAAAGGAAAACGTATCACTGGGTTGGTTCCCTAATAGTGATAATGACATACAGTGTGGGGTTCCAGAGGGAATAAACAACGAGGAAGAGGAGCGTCAGATTTATGACGCCACTGATGATGACGATCCATTTCTTGGTGATATTAAACAGCGCAAAAAATCTGAATCGCTTTCAAATTCCTTTGAAAACCGGGCTGAGGACCACCGGAAGTCAGATACTAAGCCAGGCAGCAGAAGACCTAAATCATGTATATATTCTTTAGAACCACAATGCAACAGTCAGGATACGGATAAACAAAGCTCCAAGTTTTCTGATACTAAACACAACAAAAGTTTTCAGTTATGTTTATATTCTAAGGAACGCAATAACGACAATGAAGATGATCGACAGTCCATACTTTCGGACAATAATGAAGTCGACGATATTCCTGGATCAGTTTTACATTCTATGGAAACAAATTCCAAAGTCCGTGATGTACCACAAGCTATAACACCTACAGATCCCGTTTGCCAAGATCACAGGTGTAACAACCTTCGTGAAAAGACGCAACGAAACATCGAACAGTATTCTCTCAGTAGACAAGACAGCTACAGTTCGCAAAGCTGTAGCGATAACGAAAGTGTAGAATTAGATAATTTCCAGTCCAAACGTGTATCATTTTCCAGGGATCTAGATGACTGTGATTATTCTCCGCCAGTTATAGACGTCCTTGAAGTTTCAGAAACTAACTGCCTTAAACTGCAAAGAAGCAGATCTGATCAATCGCTTTTGTCTGCGAAGAGATCGAAGAAAGCCCTACGATCAACAAGAATGACAATCCTTGCTTTCGCTATTACTCTTGGTTTTATTATCAGTTATCTCCCTTATTTAATTTTGGCCCTTCTCCGCTCTGTGGTAGCAAATTTCGGACACGAATTTGACGATGTTTCTCTCAATGTTTATAATATTTTCTTACGTTCATACTTCGCCAACAACGTGATCAATGTTTTTGTTTATAGTTTCATGCATTTGGAGTTTAGAACGCAGCTGTCACATCTCTGGAAGAGGTTGACTCGTTCAGGCCCTGGAGATCGCAACTGTCACATCTCTGGGAGAGTTTAAAGTTGTAAGCCTCACAAGATTTCAAATGTCACATCTCTGGGAGAGTTTAAAGCTGTTAACCACACAAGACTGCAAATGTCACATCTCTGGGAGAGTTTAAAGCTGTTAACCACACAAGACTGCAAATGTCACATCTCTGGGAGAGTTTAAAGCTGTTAACCACACAAGACTGCAAATGTCACATCTCTGGGAGAGTTTAAAGCTGTTGACCACACAAGACTGCAAATGTCACATCTCTGGGAGAGTTTAAAGCTGTTAACCATACAAGATCGCAACTGTCACATCTCTGGGAGAGTTTAAAGCTGTTAACCACACAAGATTGCAAATGTCACATCATCGCTTGAAGAGTATAACTCTCAGCCCAACAACAGCCACTAACTCATTAACTCATCTAACCCTAACATATCACAAATGTCGCATCTCTGAACGATATTAACTCATCCAAATCCAAAGACATCACCTTATCAAAACCTAAAGATGAGCTTATCCAATCCGAGCCCAAAAAAAAAATTTATCTCATCTCCACAAGATTAACTCATCTAAAACCTTTTGGAAGAAGAAGAAGAAAAAGAAGAAGAAGAAGAAGAAGAAGAAGAAGAAGAAGAAGAAGAAGAAGAAGAAGCAGAAGAAGGAGGAGCAGAAGAAGAGGAGGGAGAAGAAAAAGAAGAAGTAGAAGAAGAAACACTGAAATACAATGTGTTGGTGCAAGATACTGACCCCAGGAGAGTACTACCCAAAATAAGTGTCAGACTGACTGAGCAGTGTCTACATCGCAACTGTTTGCTAACCTTCTACTTGTATGTTTTACAAACGTTTATATTAAAGAATTGTTTTGTTACAAAAATTTTGTTATTTTCTCTTATTTTTTCTTTCCCTTCTATTTCTCTTACTGCTCATTTTTCTTGTTCTTGTTGTTGTTGTTCTTCTTCATTCTGAGCCTGTGAAGTTCATTGCTGTAGATATCACTCATCTCGCTGTGACTGGTCTTATCGGTCCAGCCAGTGACTCCATGTGTTTGTAGGCCTGTTTAATATATCCACTCTCTCTCCCTCTTCTTGGTCTGTCTTGTGAACACTGAACTCTTTTTCTATATACAGTTTTTGTCTCTGTTATCTGTCATTCTCTCTATGACTAAACTTTTTCAGGCTCTTCGACCTCAGGATGCCAGTAGTTCATTGGCACCTTTCTGTCTTTCCAGAGTATACTGTTATATTGCGCTATGAGGAGACATGAGACTCACAGCCCATGGCCATGTCGAGTATGACTAGCATGACCCGTCCGTGTCAAGAAAAGTCTTCCACAGTGATAGCATAGCGCAAGGAGATGAAAAAGGTTGTCAACATACACAAAAATAAAAAATAAAAATTAAATTAAAACCAGACTGAAACGGGTATAGAGTGAGCGGAAGACCTCGGAAAAATGGAGTGATGGCAATAAAACTGCTTTACAGAAATGAACAGCAATTTTAATAGTGCTCTTGACAGAGCTCATCAACGAACGTTACATCTCCCCCGGACACTTTACTGAGGTACAAGGGGGCAGAGAAGAAGAACGCTGCTGGCATCCTTGGTTTCAATCTCATTACATGGCCAAACCAATTCATTCTTTGTTTCTCTGTAAATTTGACTATGGGTGTTGTTCTTTTCGTTTCATTCACAGCCATTCTCAAACATCTCATCTCACAGGGGTAAGTTTTCTCTTGTGTTTTTTGTGTCAATGTCCAAGTCTGACACTGGTAACCTTAAGTTAGTATAAATATTGTATTTATAATTTGTCTTTTTTTTTTGTCTCTATTGGGATAGCAGAGTGTTGTAAAATTGGAGCAAGCGGGAAGGTGACATTGTTAGATTGTTGAATTCTTGTTTCTATCTCTCTGTCTATTTTACCAGTGTATGTTCCAGACTTTGATCTTTGATCTTTTTGTCGATGGTTTGTTGCTCTCTACACATTCTCATGACTTCTGGTTTTTCTTTCAGTATTGATCTTGATGTGATGTTTGAGGCAACTGTCGTGTAGTTGGTTTATGTGGTCCTGCAGCTGTTTACTTTCACTGCTGAATATGCCCTGATCGTCGGCAAAGAGCAGCTCATTAAAGTCTTCCTGTTTATCGACATCTGGTGGTTTTGAGACAAAGAAGATGAGAAATATTGACATCTTAAAAGATCTGAACATCAAGGAAGATTGGCTAATAAACAACATCCTTTCTCGAAAGCTGAAATATTTTGGTCATATCAAGCGCCACGACGACTGGAAAAAATTATAGCAGAAGGCATGGTAGCAGGAAGGAGGGAAAGGGGCCAACCGACACGAAGATGGGCACAGGATAAAAGTGACTCCTTGAGTGTGAAAGTGCATGAAGCGGGAGAACTGGTGAGAGACTGAGTTTCTTTCAGGCAGACTGTGATGAGAGCGACGTTCTGCAAAGGACCTGCTACATGATGATGATGGTGGTGGTGGTGTTGTGTCTATTTTATTAATATTGTCCATGAATATTATAAAAAGTAACGGTGAAAGAACACAGCCTTGCCTTACACCTGATGTTTCTGGGAACCAGCCTGTGAGGCCAGCTCTTGTTTTGATTACACTTTCACGTTCTCTATAAATAGTTTTTACACAACCTAGCGTTTCGTGAACATCATCATCATCACCATGTAGCATGTCCTTTGCAGAACGTCGCTCTCATCACGGTCTGTCTGAAAGAAACTCGGTCTCTCGTCCAAACAATAAAGTCGGTACTTTTGGAATGTAACCAACTAATATATTCCGATAATATCAGGGGACATTCAACAAGATCTGAACAACACCAAAGAAAGATTGTTCCATATCAGCAGCATATTCCGCATTTTGAAATACTTTGCCCACATTAAATGCCCAGCTTCAGGTCCTCTTCTTCGTCTCTTCCTCCCATTCTTACTTTGGGATATCTGTGCCGAAGTGGTCAAGACATTTGCGTCATGCTCTCTGAAGGGTGGAGGTTCGTTTCACGGCTGCGTCTATCGGTTCACAAGTGCAGATTTTTAATAGGCATCATTGGGGCTCCTTGGCAGAGCTAAGGAGTTCCAGACACTTTTTTGGGGGGGGGGGGGTATCTCTCAGAATGTGCTTAGTATATAGCCACCTACTTTGTCTTATCACTCTGTGTTGCAAGAAGGGGGGGGGGGGGAACAGGAATGATGATAAAGGAGACAATGATTGCAGATAGGTTAAATGTCGACCATCTAAGAAAAACGCACGGGATGGCAATATTGGTCCTGAATTCTCATGCTTTGATGTGGAAGCCTTTTCTTAACGAAAGCGGGTCTTATTGGTCGCATCAAGGCTGTCTTCAAAACGGGATGTATGGTCACCCTATTTCTAAGATATTGACCGCCTTACTGAAAGTTGTTCATGCCCGGGGTGGTGACATCAGGTCAAGCTGACGTCATCAACTACGTGGTCCTTGTTGAAGACAGTCTTGGTCATACTCGACATCGTCTGTGATCCCCTTGCGTTTCTACAGCACAGCGGTTTTCAACCTGCCGGTCGAGAGGGTCGAACGACTTTTTCACAGGGGTTGACTTAAACTATAGAAAAACACATATTAATTGAAAATATGAAGGAATATGATTGTCTGGGGGGGGGGGGGGTCGCCACAACACTGAGGTAACTATATTAAAGGGTTGCATTAGGAAGGTTCAGAACCACTGCTATATCACAATATAACACTCTTGTCCGTAAAGACGGCAAGTGCTAAAAAACTATTTGATCGGTTCCATTGCAAAGAGCTTAATAACTATTTGATTAGCTCCATTGCACTAAAGAAAAAGCCATCAAAGAAAATAGTGAAGCCCCTGCTTCTACCACCACCAGCATGACAATGGAGTTCATGGCTGTGAAAAAGCCGCTAGAATGGCTGAACACTCAGGAATTCCCCAGTACATGCTTTCTCAGCGTCTCAATAAGCATGCAACAGAAGATCAAGGGAAGGTGTGTACAGAAACAGTAGCCCCCCCCCCCCCCCCCCCCATCTGATACAGCACGCAGCGTTTCACAAAATCACCTTATTTTTGTGTGTGTCCCAGGGTATTCTAGTGTGAAAGGCAATGCGAGAGCAGACGCCCTGGCTGGCAGTGCGACTATCAGGAATGGGCTATCTACGGACAGGAGAGACATCATCAGTGCCATCATCATCATTATCAAGTGCCTTGCCGACTGGCGTGGGCGATCATGCCTCTCCATAATCTGCGATCTCCTGCAGCATGTATCAGTTCGTGTGCCGACACACCTCCATGCCATGCAACAAGACTGTCAAGCATCTTCTCTCGTTGTCTTCCTCTATCCCTCCTTCCACAGATCTTTCCAGTGGTCACAACATGTTCTATATTCCCTCTTCTCATAACATGGCCGAAAAATGATGTGGAAGCCTTTTCTTAACGAAAGCAGGTCTTTTTGGTCGCATCAAGGCTGTCTTCAAAACGGGATGTATGGTCACCCTATTTTTAAGATATTGACCGCCTTACTGAAAGTTGTTCATGTCCGGGGTGGTGACATCAGGTCAAGCTGACGTCATTAACTACATGGTCCTTGTTGAAGACAGTCTTGGTCATACTCGACATCGTCTGTGATCCTCTTGCGTTTCTACAGCACAGCGGTTTTCAACCTGCCGGTCGAGAGGGTCGAACGACTTTTTCACAGGGGTTGACTTAAACTATAGAAAAACACATATTAATTGAAAATATGAAGGAATATGATTGTCTGGGGGGGGGGGGGGGGGGGGGGGGGGGGGGGGGGGGGGGGTCGCCACAACATTGAGGTAACTATATTAAAGGGTTGCATTAGGAAGGTTCAGAACCACTGCTATATCACAATATAACACTCTTGTCCGTAAAGACGGCAAGTGCTAAAAAACTATTTGATCGTTTCCATTGCAAAGAGCTAAATAACTATTTGATTAGCTCCATTGCAAAGAACTAAAGAAAAAGCCATCAAAGAAAATAGTGAAGCCCCTGCTTCTACCACCA